CCCGTTGGAAATCCAGAGCACTAGTTAGAAGAAAACCTTTTGCGTTTTTGGCCTTTTTCAGTTTCTCTCTTTTTTTCTGCATTCTTATTTGGAGTAACATATTAGCTTGGAATGCAACAGTTTTGTGAGTTTTCATTATCCTGAGTATTTTTCTTTGGTTTTCATTTCATTGTTATTGCTGAATACTAGTTTCCTGGGTTTCCTGCTTAAAGTTCAAACTTATAAAACATCACCACAGCAAAGAACTGAGAATATTTTTTTTAAATACTTGAAATACTTAGAGAGCTAGCTTGCAATCTGCCTTGAGAAGGGATGGCACAAATCTTCACTGCTCCATGAGAAGACCAGGGAACAAACTGTGATTCTGAGAGTTACAGTTTGGTCCCTGTTTCCCCTGCTGTGGAATTAATCTGCTATGACGCTTGACCAGCAGTGTATTACTTCCCCTTTTGCTGGCTGGGACATTGGGGTGGCGGAATCCAGACTCAGCCCATTCCCTGACCTGACCTGGTCTGGCCTCGCCCTCCCCACCCACTCCACACCCAGGGAAAGTGAGGAAGTAGCAGTTCTGCAGTTCCTGCTCTACCCCAGCGCTGTGACCAGTGATATAGATAGGCTGTGCAGGGGAGTGAGGCATGCTGGGCAAGTAACAATCTTGCCCTTAAAATTTACCCATTTTGCAGAACTGAATATTGCTTGTGGAAGAGTCTTAATAATCCCGCACACCCCACACTCGCTGGGAACTCATCTCCAGGAGAGCCTAATAAGCCCCAGGTCCTGAAATGAGCTGTATGTGGGCAGAACCCTGACTTCAGTGGGTTTCTGTGAGGATACAGGTCTCTTCCTGTGCAAAGCTATTTTCAGGATTGAGGCCCAAGTTTGTACATAACTGAAGGGAAAAAATATATCAAAAATTGTATAAAATCCTACTTTCTCTTGAAAAAGCAAACAAAAAAACATCCACTTTAATTTTCCTAAAAATACCCCTTTCCTCGCAATCAGTGGAAAAATAAGCATCACAACCCAGCTTGGTTGTGGGTAAGAACCCTAAGTATTAATTAATAGCCCAAACCTGCACCCATTAAAATTAGAGACTTTTCCCATTTATGCTTCAAGAGCAGCAGGTGAATTCAGGCCCTTTGTTTTCAATATACATCATATATAAAATTACTGTAATTTTCTTTTACCATCTAAGCAATAAATGTGTTGAGTAAAACATATTATTAAATTCTTGGTTTTGGTGAATATCCACTGTTCTACTGATGGGCATAACTAGTCAGAAAGCATGCTATTTTGTCAGGTGTTTTTGCTAAGCCAGGGAAGAACATCATTTTTTTCAGCCCCATGAAAATATTGTCTGTAATTTTTTTTCTCTCTTGAAGGTAAAACTATTTTTTAGGTTATTTCTTGACAGTTCCGTTTCCACAAATAACAGGAAGAATGGTCGTGTGGTTAACATGTGGTCGTAACTCTGAAAAGTGACAGTAAAAAATGACAATCTGTGGTTTTATGTTTATTGTCTCTGACTGACTTCCATATAAAATCTGTTCAGGTAAGAAGTAAAAATATTGTAACCAACATGTTTTTCTGAACTGCCTGCCCTGAAATCTCAACTTGAAATACGAAGTCAAACTATGTTGTTTCTGACACATGTACCTATAACAATAAAGATGCTAATATTGGAACTTAGTTAAAAATTCTGTAGATAATACATGAGCCAGGAAAGAATCCAGACTATTCAATCTTATCTGTGCTGGCCTTTGAGGCATGAGTAGTGTAAAAAAAAATAGCTAAAAGCTTATTATTATCATTAAAATCAGCACATTTGACACTCAATTCATATAGGCAGCAGAACTGTTGAATAAAAAAGCATCATTTGTACATAATAATTTTTCTGATACCATTTTAAGGTACTGGACTGGGAACCTAGAGACCTGGGAGCCCGATTCTTCGTTCATTCATCCTGGAATTTAGGATAGCAACACGACGAGGACAAAGATGGTTTTAAGCCATTTTTGTATTCCCTATATTCTGGGCCCCAGCATAAGTTATAGAAGCCTTGAGGTTGGACAGGTATAGAGCCCTTACAGGGTGACTCCTTGTGTGCAGAATCTATTTTTAAGAGGCCTTTTCCATCCCATTTAAAGCTCCTTTAGAGCAGTATAAAAGGGCCTTAGGGTGACAGAGAATCAGGTACTAATCAGATTCTAACCCCAGTTTTACCACATACTTCTGTGGCCTGATCATCCCTTCAGTTGTGTGTGATAGAATGATCAGGCCCTTGGTGTGACCTTGGGCAAGTAATATAATCCCTCTTCCTACATTGATTTTTGTGTGTGGAAATCTCTTGCTGTTTTTTCTACCACCTGGGTAATTCCACTGTTGCTAGCACCAACGGATGCACTGGTGTAGATTAGAGCTAGAGCAATAGTGGGAGAACTTCACAAAAATCTTGGCATAGACACAGCCTTTGTTTCCTTATTTGTAAAATGAGAAAATCTTGCATAAGATCTGTGGCCATTTTGAGGCTAAATTTATTAATGTTTTTAAATGCTTTCAGATTCTCAGATAGAAGTCACTATATAAGTCAAAAATATTAGTAAGAGGACAAAGAAAAACAAAAATGTTACTTAGGTACAGCACAAACACTATACAATGTATTAAATGAAGATACTGTACAAACCTAATTCAGAAGTCTGAAGATATTCCCACTTGTATTTATTTATTTATCATTATTATGACAGTGGTGTCCATATTCCCAATCGAGATCAGAAGTTTTTGGATTGGGTGCTGTACAGGCACATTAAAAGATAATACCTACGCTGAATGTTATAAATTTAAACTACTAGTCAATGTTCCTGTGCCACTGATTCCCTTTTGGATTACTCAGTACTCAATCTTCTGAGTCAGTAAAATCTCAGAGGAAAAAATGATTTTAAAACATCAGGATTTCACTGAAAACTGGATGCTGTGCCTGAGATGAGTTTCCTGTCACATCTGAGATATAATGTAAAAATATTTTAAAATTCACAAATAATGTAAAATCAAGTAATTTTGTGAATTGATTTCCTGTTCCTAGTTGTGCTTCTTAAATATATCAATATTATATTAATGCTGGGAAATAATGATTATTTGTTTCAAATGGAAAATATGCGTGACATGCTTAGACAAAAATAAAGTGTCTGCATTGAAGAGTTTACATTCTAGAAGGTAAAAAGATTACATGTAGAGGTATGAAGAGCTTAGTGGATTTGCTTTGGCAAACTTATTTAAAAAAAAGTTTTAAACTCACTTCTTTTAAAGATCATGGAAGAAGTGTTGTTTTTTTTAAGTGACTTGAATGGGAAGCAGTAAGCTTGGTGAACTGGCTTGGGAAGAAAATGTAATGCAGAGAGGTGGCAGGATTGAAAAAAGCATGGAGACTGGTCTGAGGGAGAGCAGAATAAGGCATTAATATTGGCATTGTTGGTGATGCAAAGGGTTTGATTGGGAACATGGCAGGAGACAAAGATCTAGGATGTAGGACAGGGTAGAGTTTTCAAGGGCTTTAAAGGCGAGGACTAGAAGTTTAAAGTCGATGTAGTGCTTAAGGTAACTACAAAGGAATTATTTTGTAATCATTGGGGTTTTGCTCTTTCTTTGTATTATGATGTAAGAAGATGATCTAAGAGGTTGATTTTTGTTTTTTAAATACTTTTTTCTATGTGTTTTTTACTCTGGAAATATCAGATCTAGTCTTTCCTGGTTTTGCTGGAGGAGTGTGTGTGTGTCTCTCACAGATGTTTCTTATGAAGGGTAGACGGTTGAATTTGTAATAAAGATATCCTTTCTTTCAAACAGTCTCCCCCTCATTATTGTTATTACTGTTTGTGTGACAGAAGCACCTGGGAAATCCAGTCCAGAGTCAGGGCCATACTGGTATTGCACTTGTACAGGCAAGTAACAAAGAAGACTCTGCCCCCAAGAGTTTACAAACCAGGTACTGATGGAAACCAGGGGGACAAACGTGGTTTGGGATGTGGTTAGGATGAAGGTACAACAGAGCAATGTTTAGCAGAAGTGTCCTCACTGCACTCCCTCTCCCAATGCCCAGGGAGGAGAGAGAAGCTTTGCAACGTGGCTAGGTTTAAAAACTCCAGGCTCTGACAGTGTTTATACAAGAGTGGGCACTCCAGAGGCAAAGAGCCCGCCCAGAAAATGCCCTGCTCCTGCAGCCATGGATGTGAAGGAGAAAGCGAATATGGCTGTCTTGTTCTTTTTAATTTCTCACTACAGAACACGACGTTGGAACATCCCTGTGGGGAAATCTCAGCCAGGGGCTGCTGCACACTGGAGAGAGCGAGCTCCTAGCCTGCAGGAGATGCTTTCACACAGTGCTCCGCAAACAGCGCTGCAGCTACTGCTATGAGGAAACCGGCCAGCTCCTCCTCCAGCCCACCCGCCCACGCACTTTTTCTCAAGGCCGCAATCTGGCAAACGTACAATTCTCCACAAACATGGCGGTGCGGGAGGGGCGCGGCAAACTCCCCCGTCAACACCCTTCTCCATTTGCCCGCCCTACAGAGACTGAGGCGGCGGTGCCGTGGTCCCTCTCTAGCTACCTGGAGGCCCACCTCTATGATCAGGGGCCTCCTCAAGCTCTGAGGGGCGGGGGGAGAGGGGTGTCTGGCTGGCGTGCGGCGACCAGCGCGGCCGTTGACGGGGCTGGCTAGGTACGAGACCAGCGGGGAGGGGCCGGGAGCCCAGACTGGCAGTTAGCAGCGACTCCCCTTTGTGTCTGGGCTGGGAACGGGGAGCGAGCAGGAGCCAGCCGGGGCTGGGAGGTGACGCGGGTGGATCCCCCGCACCCCTCCTGGCCGAGCCCGTCTGCGGCGGGCGAGGGCAGGGAACAGGCGCTGCCGCGTGGGGGACTCAGCCTGTGGGGAGGCGCTGGGCTCCGCTCCCGCCCCGGGGGCACCCCACAGCCCGGAGCCGCCGGCTGAAGCCCCGGAACGCCCCTCGCCGGGTCGCTCTACGCGGAGCGGAGCGAGGAGGGAGAGGGGCCTCTGTCGCTCTCCCGGCCGGCGGCGAGCAGGACCTGGCGCCTGATCCCTTGCTTAGCTGGAGGCACCCGGGGGGCGCCCTCCCGTTCGGAGGGGCGAGGGCTGCGCTTGAAGAGAGCAGATGGGCCCAGGCGCAGTGACTGCGGGGACCGCTCCTTGTTAAGAGACGCGGAGAGGGCGACGGAAGGCAGAGCCCGTCCGCGGGATGGGACGCGTCTCTGAGCCCAGGCTACTTCACCGGTTGTCCCGCGTGCCCAGGGCCGAGTAAGGAGGCGCCAGAGGTGACCGTTGCTATCCGTTTTCCCTCCTCATCCCTGGATATGTTTCATGCTAAACCTGGCTGCTTCTTCGATATCGTGAAGTTGCGTGGGAAATAATCTGGGTTTCGGGTGTGACCGCAAGAATAGCTGCTCACCCAGGGGAAGGGAAATGCATCCTGGTTTGGAGACAAAACCTCCCTTTCCTATGAGCGTTAGAAAGAAGAGGAGCCAAGTCCCGAGGCATGAAGACAGATGTGTGTAATGGAGTAAGACCTCAGACAGCTCCTGTCATCTGCCGTTTGCCCTTCCAGACTGGATTGTGATCCAAGAGAGTTTTAAGATTGTTTAAAGGGAGAAAAATTCTCCTTTCGGTATTTTTTTTTCTTCTGCCTCCTTCTTTGGCTTCCTCAGGTATGAGTGCCTCTCTGCAGCACCTTTTGCTGGTGCTCTTGCTCTCCAGTGCCACCCTGCTGCTCAGCACTGCGGCTGGTAAGTAGCTACCCGGTGTAATATACTAGCCATTTTGGCACAGGGAAGGGGGTGGGGTCCATCAGTATTTCGGTATATCTGTGACCCATTAAAAAGTAGTGTGTCTCTCTCAGTGAAGTGTGATGATATTTTTAAGTGAGGACCTACTGACCATATTTGAGAATAAATCATGCTTTATTGTATAAAGGAACCCAATCTGCAGTTGAGGTTTATTTTCTCTTGGTCTGCTCATGCTGGTTAATGGCTTGTTCTCGTTCTCTCTTTTCTTTAAAGGATAATTTGGCATGGTGTTTTTTTTCTATGAAATGTTTAACATCTTTGTGAGGTAATGCCAGTATTTTTAAAATACAGTTTAATCACAAGCAAGAGCTATGTCTGGTGGCAATGGGGTCTTTGGGCACAGCCATTTTTTATTCTACTAACATCGATGCTATTAGGGGCATTATAACTACAACATTTGATATATGTTTTAGGGAAAATAGACTTATTAATAATGCATATTTCTTGGAGCTTGAAACAAAAATGAAAATTTTTCACCATTGTCATTTATAGAATAGTAAAATAAGATGGTGATGAGGAATACTGCAAGATCTGAGTGTAAATATGTTAAAGGTTTCATTTTCCTACAGTAAATGAAAGTCTAATATTTTTGGAAAAAAATGCTCTATTTTAAATTTTTTGAAGCTCAATGTTAGATGCACAGAACAATTTGCCATGAGATTTAAACAGTATATAGCCCTTGCATCCATTGGCTTTTGATCATTGTGGCAGATTAGCATGAAGGAGCTCTCTGAAGTGTTACCCAGGTTTATTAGGCGCTAATACTTATTCCTCCCTTCTGTATGCTTTTAGCAATTTTTGGAAGATTCATAGTACCTTGGTATCTTTCTTTCCACTCAGAAGCCAGTGTAGAATGCTCAATCTTCCCAGCATTCTTTTTATAATCTACTGTGTGAGCCTCAGTTATAGGATAATAGAGAAATGTGCAGTTTCTTGTGAAGATGGCATAAGAAGATTGATAGTTGGTGCACTTTTTTTTTTTAATTATTTTTTAATGCATTTTGGTCAGTGTTCAAAATAATCTGTTTTTGCTAGTAGAATAATACTGTGAATTGGACTTGTTCGGTCAGTTTCTCCATTGCTTTACTAAGAATGGATAGTCTTCCATTTTATAAAAGGCTTTCTTTGGGGAAATATTGAACTGAAATGATTGATATGGAGCACTTTCCTGCATCAGCCTGACTTTTGCCCGTCCTTGACATTTTTAGATTATCTACCATGTTTCTCTGTGATAGTTTGGAAAGAGGATTGTTTTGAAGAATAAACCTTTCAAGGTCAAAAGCTTTGGTATTAAAATGCGTATGACTCTAAAATATCCCATTATCTAACCTTGTCCCTTAAATGTGAAACTTAAAAAAATAGTTTTGTTTCTCATTTAATTACTTTGTTAAACTTTTATGAGCTAATTTTTCTTTGTGCTGATGAGAGTGAAGGTTTAATGGCACTGATCTGAGCCAGGCAGGGGATGGGCAGGTGCCTACAAGCCTACTTAGTGAGCTTCACCAATTTCACCTCGATTCTGACCTGTTATCATCACTGCTACTGGGTTTGTCTTGTACAGACTGATCGTCATGTCATATTCTTTGGTCATCTTGTGAAATGCATGAACAGGAACTCATTTTCACATGATGGCTGTATAATACTTCTGCAGTTAATATGTACAATACAAAAGTTCTGTACCTCTTAAGAAGTCTTGGTGACAACTATGTCTAAGAATATGTTAATATTTTGAGATTTAGCTAAAATAACCATTCTAAAGCTTGACTATAAATTTAACAGTGTATTTCAGAAAAGGGGGAAAAAAAAACATAGGAAATCCCAGGAGGTGAAGGTCTGCCCTTTTATTTATATATATATATATATATATATATATATATATAGTACGACG